TAAACTGATGGGGGTAAACAGGTAACATAATTGTGTTCTCTCACAGATCTCAGGATTGTACTTGTTGGGAAAACTGGAGTTGGGAAGAGTGCAGCAGGAAACACCATCTTAGGAAGAGATGCTTTTAAATCTGAGCTGACTTCTTCCTCAGTGACAGAAGTATGTGAGAAAAAGATGGGAGAGTTTGGTGGCCTTAAACTGGCTGTAATTGATACACCAGGACTGGGTGACACAAAACAATCTGAAGAGCAGGTGAGGAGAGAGATTGCTCGATGCATGTCCTTTGCTGCTCCTGGGCCACATGTTTTTTTGGTTGTGCTCCAGCCAACCAGATTCACAAAAGAAGAACAAAAATCAGTGAAAATCATTCAGACAATATTTGGAAAAGAGGCATCACGTTACACCATGGTACTGTTTACCCATGGAGATGAGCTGAAGAAAAGACATTCCTCCATAGAAAAATTAATTAATGAGAATCCAGATCTCCGCCGCTTCATCAGTCAGTGTCACAGAAATCATCATGTTTTTGACAATGATGACAGAGATCCCTCTCAGCTTAAAGAGCTGCTGCTGAAGATCAGTGCAATGATTCAACTAAATGGAGGAGGCTTCTACACCAACGAAATGTTCCAAGAGGCCGAGAGAGCCATAAAACAAAAGATTAAAGAACTTCTGGAAAAATATCCAGACATGAATCTTGAAGAAGCAAGAAGAAAGGCAGAGGAAGACAACTCCTTTATTCAGGCTGTTCTAAAGGGTGTTGTTATTGGAGCTACTGCTGGAGGTCTAGGTTTAGCTGCTGCTGGTGCAGCCGCTGCTGGAGTTGCTGCTGCTGGAGCTGCTGCTGGAGCGGCTGTTGGAGTTGGAGTTGGAGCTGCTTTTGGAGCTGCTGTTGCAGCTGCATGTGCCGGGGTTCCCAAACAAGATATATATTTCAGAGTGAAAGATGAAACAGGATGCAACATACAGTAAAACACAAAGGATTGCAGTAATTAGTTAGATCATTCCAGCCCTATGAAAAACTTAGATAAACTTTAAACTATATTTCATAAATATTGTTTATTTTTCCTGTTCTGTCACCATATTATCTTTATCATAAGGCTGATTGCTGCTCAGATACAGATATAGATTAGCATCTTGTTTCATTAATTATTTTTATGATTTTTTTGTCTGCAGCCCTTGACATGTCCTTATGTTGTATGTCAGTAGAACACATTATCCACACTGAACCTTTTAATTATGTTCCTATATTCAAAAGCAATAACTGATTGATAACTCTGTGTGTGTGTGTGTGTGTGTGTGTGTGTGTGTGTG